AGGGTTACTTAGTTCATAATGAGTGAAATCCGAAAGGAGTACTGTTTAAGATGTCTCTTAGTGCATAATCCAAAATCCAGAATGTAAGCAACATGAACCATCTTGCAATCTTTGAAAAGAGCTTTGTTTTATAGAGCTTCTGTTGCCTTAATCGCTTTCTTTGTAATTCTAGAACATCTCATTGGTGTAAATGATTTGTTAATCTTCACCATTTAGTTCATGTGAAGCCATCTGTTATTCTTTTGGTTTTTTGAGACAGTGTCACTTTGTGTAGCTTTGGAGCCTGTCCCAGAACTTTCTCTGTAGATCAGGCTGGCCTCGAACTCCCAGAGATTCACCTGCCTCTGCCTCCCAAGTGCTGGGATTAAAGGCGTGCACATCACTTCCTAGCCACATGAAGCCACTTTAAGGTGTATCCTCATGTAATTGGGGGAAAAAAATCAAGTGAAATTCTGTTACAATAAATCTTTCCACCAAAAGCTGCCTGAGCCCCACCGACACGTGTGTGCCTTACGCCAGCCGCCCGCCCGAGTTAGGGCCCAAATGAATACACAGAAACTTGTATTAGGTTCAAAGCTGCTTGGCCAATGACTAGGATTCCTCATCTGTTAGCTCAGTCTTACTTATCATAAATCTATATATTTTATAAGACTTATCTTATCGGACACCTTATTGGCATCCCTCCTTGCCAGTGGCTCACATCCTGTCACTGGAGGAGCAGAGGGGAAAAGAGACCCTTCCTGTTTGTCCTTCACTTAAATATGTGTCTCCTTGCTATGTCACTTCCTGCCTGGATCAGTACTTCTCTACTACATTTCCCAGAATCCTCTTTGACTCCTAGTCTGTCTAACTTCCTGTCTCACTAGCCAAACAGTATTTTATTTAACAATCAATAAGGTAAACATATACAGTACATTCCCCATCATCTCTTCTTTTCTGTCTAAATAAAAGGATAACTTATCTGTTATAATAACTGAAGAAAACTATAACTATCTGTCTTCAACTCCATCAAAGACCACAGAAGGAAAATATATAAACTCTAGAATTGACAGAGACATCTCGCTACCTAGACAGTCACCCAAAGTTTCTCTGTAATGTTGGGGCATCCATCTTCAGCCCATAGGCCACAGTGTGTCTAGCACACTTCTCCATTTTAACAGGAACCCTTCAGCACTATCTTGTTTTATAAGTTCAGCAGTCACTTTCTTGTGGGTCCTGCATGTCCAGTTTATTTAGCAACAAACAGTCCAGGCAAGAGCAGTTTCTTGCCCAAATGGCTAATCTTGCCATGTTGAAAGCAAACTCCATAACGAGTTTCCCATCTCAAATACATCTCTGTAAATCTAGAAAACCTAACTAATCTAATTATAAGTTCTGACTATTATAGGTAAAAGATCTGTATAAACACAATACCTACACAAGAGGAGACATATACATATCACAAAATTGACCTTAAAGTTGTATCAATAAATGAAAATCTATACCAATGTATTCATTCTTACCACGCTGTCGAGGGCGTGGTCAGGATGAGGTAGAGCGATACTTACATGGGACAGTGTCCCTCTTTCAGTTTCACTTTGGTACTTGCTGGACAGACTGCTGCTGCGCTTTTCCCTATTAAATACCCTTATATTACTACTTGGCTCCATATTGGTAATTTCCCACTATAAAATAGTTGCTACAAAATTACCTTAGCATACACTGGTAGTTTGAATGTAATTGGCCACCATATTCTCATGGGGAGTGGTACTATTAAGAGGTGTGGCTTTGTTGGAGTGAGTATGGCCTTAAAGGAGGAAGTGTGTTACTGGGAGGTGGAGGGGGGGAGGCAGGCTTTAAGGTTTCCTATGCTTAGGATACCACCCAGTGTCTCAGTTGACTTCCTGTTGCCTCTCCCGTACCATGTCTGCCTGCACACTGCCATGCTCCCCACTGTGATGAAAATTGACTGAACCTGTGAAACTGTAAGCCAGCCACCCCAATTAAGCAGTTTTCTTTCTAAGACTTGCCACGGTCATGGTGTATTTTCACAGCAATAGAAGTCCTAACTAAGAAACACACCTTTTAAAAAGTTAAAATCGCATAATCTTTGAGACTGACTAACTTATATGTTTAGCCAGAATTTGAACTCACACCTGCAAATCCTGCAGAACCCATAGACTCAAACTTTGAATAAATCTATCTCCCTTGGTCTTTCTGTTATTGTTGTTTTACCTTTTTTTTTTTTTTTAAGACAAGACATCCACTATCCCAGGCTGGCTTCAAATTTGCCATAGAGTTGAACTTGAGCTGCAGCCTCCACCTCCAAATGCTGGGATTACAGGCGCACACCACCCTGCTCTCCTCAGCCTGACATGGAAGCTAAACTCTAGTTACTGCCGGAACTGCCAGCTTGGTTTGTGTATCTTAAAGCTGCCTACTGGAAAATGTGACCAGCTTATTGTAATTCATTGTAGCAGAGCCTACACATCAACATGCAACTCTGTTTCTCTGAGTGACACCCGTATCTCTGTTCTTTTATCATCTCTTCCTCTCCTTGATCTTTCCAAAGAGAACAGTGACCCATAGTGTATTCTCTGAAGTTCTCCCACAAGCTCTTAGTCTTTGCTGTTCACATATATAATCCAGCTCCAATCTTCACTATAGACCATACATGCCTTCATATGTCTGGAGAGGAGTGTGAAAAATCTTTCTCTTTGTAGCACTCAAACCAGAAATGGCTGGGTGAGCTATCAAGTCCAAATTCTCACAGCCCCCTTTTTGCTCACTACTGAAACCTGCCTGCAGAAGGCAGGTATTTTGAGCCAGTGTGAAATGTCTCATCTTCTTCACTGCCCCTGGGGGCAAATGTAACTAGAGTACTCCACCTAAGAGATGTGGAAACTAAAAATGACATGAAGAGAATAGAAAGGGAAAATCATTAACTCTGCCATGGCATCTTGAGTAGGTTTTGGCAAGAATGAAGAGTTGATATTTGAGGTGTTGCTGGAGTCTGCACTCATCACTACTGTGCAAGAAATTTACAAAGGGGTCCTGAAAATGTTTTTAATATGTTTAGAATTCATAAAAAACATTCCATTTAAAAACATACCAGAGTTGGTGTCTATGAGTGCCATCCTACACTTAAGTAAAAAGCAACCAGCAGCCTGGCTGAACTTTTATTTGACACTGAAATATTTGGCTTAAAATGAACACTGAGTCACAAAAAGCAAAAGGGCTCAAAAAGCAGCAGGGAGATAGGATTGGAAGAGCAAGGCATTTTCAGTTCAACTTTTTATTTTATGATCTAACACTGTAAAAGCAACAAAATTTTAAAGCTATGTTGTACTAAACTAGTTACCACCATTGGGCTTGACATGACTCTACAATAAAGTCATAATCTATCTGAATGAAAAATGAGGACCCAGCTGCTCCCAAGTATGGTTGAGGAGAAGGTTTGTTGTAGATATGAGGGAGACAGTAGCCAGGGACATCTGGAAGAGTCCACACTGAACATGACCGGCAGAGTGAGAGGAGAGATGGCAAGAGCGAGAGAGGGGAGAGAGCGAGCAGGGAAGATCAGGAACAAAGCCAGCCAGGGGCCAAGGGAGTGTGTGGAGAACAGCATGTCACCGAACTGGCTGAATTATATGGGAAGAAAGGCTGGGGGAAGGGAAGCTCTGGTTAGCCCTGGGTTCAAGAGGTTCAGAGTGAGGGGCAGAATGAGAAGTGCTGGGAGCCATGGACACTGAGTGAGACTTGTCCTGGAGTCCTCTGAGACCTAACACTACCCTTTTCTAAAGATGAATATATGTTCTGTGTTCAGGCTAAAGGATCTCCAAGGCTAATGAAGCAGTGTTCACTAGTTAGTGGGGAAAACATTTTACTCTTGATATTCACTCTTCCTAGTCATTTAAGACTGACTCTTTTACAAGCACCTCAGAGTTTCAACACTTGGCATGTCTGTTAAGACTGGAAAAATTACATCTCAAAGCATGACACTTTTAACAAGTTGCAGACTTCAAACCAAGAGAAATTAAAGGCCTTAAATTAGCTGTCTTAGAGCCAAGGTTTCTCTAACCTCTTTTTTATGCTCTGACAAGAGAGGGGCTTTTGTGAAATTCTCTTTCTACATGAAAACCAGATGTGCCAAAAATAACAAGATTGCCTTCATTGTTCTCCTCCGAGATTCTACTAACCAAGAAAGATTAAACTCATATCACAGTAAGGAAGAATGGGAATGTCACTACGCCCACACCAACTTTGTCACAAGTTAATTAAAGTCCTTCAGTCCATTCAGTTCTGAGATGCAGACCAGTGTTCTTCAATGGGCCCATTGACACCCTGGCAATCATTTACCACCCACCATGTGTAGATATTTCCCTCACATCATACCACCATTTTCACACATGCATTTCTTTGCCTGGGTTTCAGGTAGACAATACCCACTTCCCACCCAACCCATCCCCATTCCTTTGTTCTTTGATCTGTATCCTGCATTTCAAATCCTGCCCATCCTTGCCCTTTTCACAATGTAGCAAGGATCTGGAAAGGATCTCTAACTTTCAGGTCCAATGGAACCCTGTGATGCAAAGCTGAGCTGGGACCACAATAACACACCCTGAACATGGGACATTTTAAATGAAACCAGATCCAACTTCCTCAACAATAATAGTATTCAATAATAGTAAGTCAATAATAGTATGAGAATCAAAACAGGGAACTAAGCTCACCTCTGAAGACTTTAGGACCTTGAACAGTCCAATTAATCAACTGTATAAAGAACTATTTGAGGCACTTAGGGCTATTTTAATGGTCTGCATACATGTATATACCAAATGGTATTAAATATTATTATTTTTAGGTATAAATGGCATTCAATTTTGGTTTTTATAAATTATATTTGGGGACATATTTTGAAATATGTGGAAGTGACATGGAAGAATTTCTCAGATTTGCCTCAGGTATGTAGCAAAGAAAGAAAAAGAGATTCAAGCGGTATGGCATGTATGTACTCTCTATTTGCATGTTTATTTTTTTATTTCACACAATTTTCAAATTTAATAATTAAAAATGGGGTACAGAGATGGTTCAACTGTTAGAACCACTTGTTGCTTTTGAAGAGGATCCAGGTCAGTTCCCAGATCCTGAATTATGGTTCATAACTATCTGTAACTTCAGTTCCAGAGGGCCTGACACCCTCTTTGGACCTCTGTAGGCACCAGACAAGCACATCTATACTTACCTACATTCAGCCAAAATACTCATGTGCAAAATTAAATAATACTAATAAACAGTTTTGTTCTTAGGAGTCCTGGTGAATCATGAATCTCAGAAATTTTCACTTGAGTGTATTCTCCATTAAGAATCAGTCCAACATATTTGGGGCAGTCTTGATTTCTCCCTAGACTCTCACTGTCCACTGTGGTGATATTCTACCTTCAAATGCCCATTCACTTCCCATGCAGAAGACTTAGAGATACCCTGAGTATTCTCACAATAGTCAGGGACCTAATATCCACAAAGAAAACAGCACATCCCAGTGTTTCGATAAAAAATGCTGCTTGTCTTGTGACTACAGACTTCACCTTTCTCCACAGCTTCACTCAATCATCCTGTCATTTCTATTATCATAACGTTTTTAAAATAACTGTATTGGGCATAGATGAGAAAAAAACCTAAGATGTTCTAAATTAAATGACAAAGAGCCGGAATAAGGAAGAAAAAAGGATTGGTTTATAATCTTGAAACCTCAACTCAAATGCCAATGTGATACTTACTGTAGCTGCCATTCTAAACTGCTTACAAGGCTAACCATCCCGAGGCTGAAGTGACTTCCCTTGGTAGACTGTCCTTCTGTCTCAAACTGTTCTTCTGATGAGCCCACCCCTCTAGTCAGCAGGAAAGGGTAAGTTCACTATAAACTTAAGTTTTCATTTAAAAATATTCTGCCTTCCCAAATCTTTTAGCCATTGCTAGCAGTTATGGGAACTTGTCCCAGGACTCTTCTTTCTGTGTCCTGGAGAGTATCTCTAATGTCCTCTTCTTTCCATGTCCTGGAGAGTATCTCTAATGTCCCCTTCTTTCCGTGTCCTGGAGAGTATCTCTAATGTCCTCTTCTCGGATGTCCAGTCACATGTCATCGGTATTCCTGTAAGGGAGGTTTGGATGGGCTTCACATTTGAATCTATAGGTAATAAAGCTCAAAGATATGGACATGGCCCATCTAGGAGGAGGAAGAGGAGGAGGTGGAGGAGGAGGGAGATGAAGGAGGAGGGAGAAGAAGAAGAAGAAGAAGAAGAAGAAGAAGAAGAAGAAGAAGAAGAAGAAGAAGAAGAAGAAGAAGAAGGAAAAGAAGAAGGCTTTCATCTGATTGAGAGAGAGCCCTTCCTTCCTTCCTGACTGTCTCTAACCTGCACTTTGGGCTTTTCCAGACATCAGCTCTTCCCAATGCACAGGACAGAGAACCAGTATAGGTTCTCCTGTGTGCCACGCCTGTGGATACAAACAAGATCCACCCCAGTGGCTGCTTTCAATTTCTTGGCTCATCCTAAAGCTGCCATCACTGAACAAGTCAATTTTTTTAAATGAGTGGTTTCTACACATTTCTACGAACTTTACCTGTTCTGTGTCTCTGCAAAACTCTTGACACAAAATTATGCAATTCTAAGAACCCAGAAGTTGGCACAATCTAACGAAAGCAGATACTTCAAGGTATGGTAAATAAGTTGGCATTTTTGAAGCAGTATTCTTATAATCTGCTGCTATAAATTTGATTTATTTTTTGTTTATAAAAATAGAAAGAAAACTACAGAGAAAGTTTAGAGAGGCCAAATTATGCACTGGTGTGGCAAAAGCAAATTATTTGCTTTTAAAAAATAATGCAAGAGGCTTGTAGAGAAGTTGCTCGTGCATTGTGTCTTCAGGGCACGTGGGCATGGCCTACCCTCCGCTCTCAGACTTGGATGGACGCCGAGTAGGAAGAGTCTCTGGTCTCAGACCAGGGGTTGCAGGATGCATTTTCCCGAGGGCTCCTGAAACCAGGCCTCAACATTGCGTTGGAGAGGCTGAAGAAGGGGGTGAATGAAGCAAATGAGTTTAAGCAGTGTTTGTCACCCTGAATTCAGATGGGATCTGGAGTGGGTTGAAAGGCTCTATGTGACCCTGGAGTGCCAGAAGTCAGTGAAACTCAGCCAACACCCCCCCCACACACACACACACACACAAGGACCAGAAGAAAAATGTTAATCCAGAGGGAAATGAGTATTTACCGCCAGGCCCAGGCTGCAGTGCTTGCAGTATTACCCCAGCTCCAAGTCCCCACCAAGCGACCCACGGATTATTTTGCAGAAATGGCCAAGTTGGATCAGCAGATTCGGAAGATTCAACAGAAGCTGTAGATGAAACAGGCTGCCATGGAGAAATCTGAAAAGGCCAAGCAAGTTGGAGCTCCTAGGAAGTACAGAAAGAAGGTGCAGCCTGAGGTCCTTCAGAAGAGCATCGGGAGAAAGCACATACGATGAATACCTTCGGGAAATGCCAGAAAGGCTTCTCTGATAAACTGGATTTCCTTGAGGAGGATCAGAAGCGGTGCAAAGGCAAGAGCTAAGGGCCAGCAGATGAGTAAAGGGCCCAATGCCAAACGACGGTACAAAACCCAGAAGTTTGGTTTTGGTGGAAAGAAGAAAGGCCCCAAATGAGGTGAGGGCTACGCCGATGTCTCCAGCTTCCGAGCCAAGGTGGCTCACAGCAAGCGCCCCAGGAAGCCTGGGAAGAAAGGGGCAAATAAGCGACCGGGAAAATGAACAAGACAGAAAACGAAGAGCAAAAGCCGCTGAGCAGCTTTGTTTTTCTATAAAGAACCAAGGAAAAGGGCGAATGTACAAACTACAGAACACTCAGGGCTTTTTCTTTCCTTTTGTAGAAAATTCTTTTAATAAATTAAACTTTGAAAGAAAAAAATTAATGCAACCAGAAAGTTACTTATCTAATAGGAAGAAGAAACCATGAAGTTAGGCTAGAACTAAACACGTTACATATTTTATTGATCCAAACTTTGAATTTGAATTTGATCCACACACCCATCCTTTCATCAGTCTGGGTCTTACTTTTGCCTTCACAGACCATGGAGTCTGTCCCTCCACTTTTGTCTCCTGACTGTCCTCTTTCTCGAGTTTCAGCTTGTCCTGAGGCAACTGCTAGCCAATAGTCTTAACAGTACCTTCTATGTTGCCCAAAGGTTTTGGTAACTGTCTAGCATCCACACCTTTACTTTGCTATTTGAGTCACTCACAATTTGATCAGTATCTATTTTTCAGGCCGGCCTTTGTCCTCCTGTGTGGGTTAACAGAGAACTGACACACTCAGAGCTAAATTTAGCGAAGTTTCAGAACACCTCCCCAGTTCCTCTCATAGGCCAATTATCTCAATTACTAAAGACTGACGTTGGAGACCTGGGTTCTAGAGTCCTATAACACTGTGATTTGTGACAAGGGCAATTTTGTCAATTGACATCCTTATCCTTATATTCACTTTTCTGAGTGGCTTTCAGACAAACAGGTCTCAAGTGCCTCTTTTGAGCAATAAACGTCTGGTTCTCCTTTCCACCGGGCAAGTTCTGAAGATCTAATTCATGTGCTCAGGCTGGGCAGCAGGCAGCTCGACCTGCTGGGCTAACTTGCTAGCCCTATAACAGATCCTGAAACTTAGGCCTCTATATGTGTGCCAAAAAACAAACAAACAAACAAAAAACTGTCAGACTTTGAAAAGTGTAACCTAAGATATTTGCTGGAAAAATATATAATTCCCAAGCCTCCACCCCTTTCCAATTCTGATTCAGTAATTAGTAACCTATATTAAGTAATTCAGTCTATCAACAACACTCTAAGATTAAAAAAAAAAAACTGCTCCAACTATATACAGCACATTTTTTTACTTATAGAGACTCTAAATTTATTTTTTAAAGAATGTTTTGGTCTGAGGAGTAGCAATACTTTCATGGACAAAGATCCAAAACAGCAAATGAGTCATGAGAGGCAGGTAAGTGTAATCAGACAGCCCATGTTATCAAAGACAATAGGAAGGAAGGGAGAAGACACGGAAGACACAAAGCACACTGGACAAAGTGCTGTTTGATGTGTCAGCCACAAATACAAAAGGCAGTGACTGAGACTATGACAATGACAAAATGTCAAACACAGCTAGCTGGTCACAAGCAAATGCTGAGCCAAGTTCCGACACAGACACAAGCACACCCTTCAGGTTCTCATTCCTTCCGTTCTTTACTGCAGGGAAAGCCTCAGTGGGAAACAACAAAGCCAAATCGTAAGGAATGGCATTAGAGAAAAAATGGGCTAACTTTGAGGGGCTATTCTCCAGCTCTAGTTATTTGTAGTCTTGGGGTACATGGTTCTAATCTCTGAGGAAACATTTTAAAAAGTACCAAGAACTGGCAAGCATGTTCATTCCTGACTTTGAAAGAAGGGAAAGGTAGATTCTGAAAGCTGCAGATCTAATCTTTAATTCAGCCAAGATCCTAGCACACCGTACTAAAACCTTCATGGCTTTTGTGTTAAAAGACTTAAGTTAACATAAATCCACCAAGACAATATTGCCAGGCAGCTTGTTTGTTTGTTACAGGCCCGGAGATATTTACAAAAGTTGCTAGTGATGCCTTTAACAGGCATTTCCCAAACTTGTGATTTTCTTATGAATAAGATCTCTTTCACGTAATTCTCTGAGCTCAATTCGGAGTTAGTTGCCTCGTTTTTGTCCAAAGTAATTAGCAACTTCAGTCTCTGGGCTTTCTTTCGTTATTGATAATTCTCATTCATTCAACAAACATTTACTGCACAGTTAACCAGTATCGAGGATGCTCTAGGTAGTGGGAATCCAACAGTGAATAAAATACAGTCTCTGCTCTCACGAGTCACAGATAAGAAGACAAAATGCAGGAAAAGAAAGAAAAACTTCAAAGTGAATAAGGGTAAATGGAGAATGCTTTCCTTCGAAGACAAGACAGAGAGCGGAGTGTGGCGATAAATGAGCAGAGACCTGAAGGTACGGTGGCATTGGCTGTGTAATTATCCAAGGGAAGACTATTTCAGGTAGTAGGACCTGAGCACACACAGGGATGAGAAATAGAAATCTTCTTGGCTAAGAGACCGTCTCTCATATTGGAAGCTTAATTCCCCAAATACGTTCATGGGTGTATTATTTTGTTTTGCATGACTGCAACAAAAATACCTGAGACTGTATTACTTCATAATGGAACAATTTTCTTTAGCTCATAATTCTGAAAAGTCAAGGTTCCCAGATGATGGCAGCTTGCTTGACACAATTCTGAGTAATGTGTGCCATCACATAGCCAGAATCAAACAGTGCACATAAGTAAGTGTGTGTGTGTGTGTGTGTGTGTGTGTGTGTGTGTGTGTGTATGTGTGTGTGTGCTCCCCCATTGCTCTCTCTTCTGACAAAACAGCCAGCATTCAATCAAGGGCCCCATTCTGATGGATTTACCTATTCCTAATCACTTTCCAAAGGAACCATTTCCAAATACTAGAGTTGGATTGCCCTTTTGTTGGTTTATTGATGGATCTCCCTATGTAGCCCTGTCTGGCTTGTAACTTGCTATGTTGCTGATTGGTCTTGAACTCACAAAGATTTCCCTGTCTTCGTCTCTCAAATGATAGCTGGGATTAGAGATATGGACTAACAAATAAAAGACCCAGAGACTGATACTGGGATCCAAGATTCAAGCTGAAGATCAGAGAAGTAAAGCAGCCGACCACTAGCTCTTACTCTATCTCAGACTGAAATGTGATCCTGGCTCCAACAAACCTGACTGCAATCCGATACTGCTATGCTCTCCTCAATGTGGCTGGAGACTCCTAAGATTAAGTCTCAGACTGAATGCCAGCTCTGAGACCCTGCTCCTGTCTTATATACCTCCCTAATTCTGGAGTTAAAGGCGTGTAATTCCCCATGGTGAGATCACCTTTGTGTGAGCTCTTTCTTTTAAGACTGGATCAATTTTGTGTAGTCAGTGTAGTCTTGAACTAACAGAGATCTGCTTAACTCTTAATCCTGGGATTAAAGGTGTGTACCTCCACTGCCTGATCTCTATAGCTTGAGGCTGGTTTTGCTTTCTGAACCCTCAGGCAAGCTTTAATAAATCATAAATAATATATCACCACAATACACCCAGCCTATTTCACCTTTTTAATTCCTCATAATGGAGGTTACATATGAACCTTAAGGGACACACTCAACTCATACCTGACCCTCAGTAAAGCATTGCTTTTTGGAACATATGAATTGTTGTATTACATGGCGAAAGAACCTTGGACATAGAATGGTTTCAAACCTCCAGATAAGACATAATCCCAGATAGACATAATCTATTCACATGAACCCTTACAAAGAGAAAACATTCTCTAACTGCAGCAAGAAGTATTCAATACAAAAGGAAATCAGAGATGATAAGTATGAGGAGGATACCATTGTTGCTGACTTGGAAACACAGTGTCCCAGTAAAGCCTTGGGAGAGTCCTCTAGGAGGTAAGGACCGCCTCTGTGCAACAGCCAGCAAGGAAATAGGGACCTTCCTTGTACAGATTTAAGGCTCTGAATTTTGCTGACACCCAGAGAAAATACCTGAGCCAACTGCAGCTTCCAGCCCAGACCCGCCTGATAATAACTGTATGTTGTTGTAAGCTGTGCAGCCGGGGGCAATCTGTGATCATTTGTTATGACAGCAATAGCAAAGTCATACAGATCATGACATTAGACTGAAATGAGGGAGGGGCATGGAAAGAAACCAGGAAAGAGAGGTAGCAGCCATGGGGCAGGGTGCAAGGACAAGTGAGGAGGAAGCTTCCTGGACTTTGCAGACCACTATAAAGCCTTTGTCTTTTATTAGAGGGAAAGGAGGAGCCATGGGTGTTGGGAGCAGAAGCATGGTATACTTACACTTACATTATATAGACCATTTTGAATGTCCCTGTGTAGAATCCAGTTAAATAGATGTCACCACAGTTCACGCAACGAGAAATCATACTGGAGACTGCACTAAGTTGAAGCATATTAAATCTCCACTTAAGTGGATCCAAAGTTGAAAACAAAATGATGAGTTAAGCGATACGCTGATGGGCGGCTTATGGGGTGTTGTAAAAAGAGAGGAGTCACTGTTGGCACCATCAGCCATGGGTAGAAGAGTTGCATTGAGGTAACAAAGAATGCAGGGCAGCGAGTTTAGTGCAAGCTGGGCGACAGAGACAGGCACAGGTTCATCTTGGGACTTGTTATGCATGAAATGCCTGTCAGCCAGCCAGGAGGAGAAGGACACGCATCCAGCTGCTACATATGCAGTCTGCATTTCAGAGGAGTATTGGGAACTGCGGCTGCTAGTCCTGGAGTTCCCTCAGAATCCTGAGGTGAGCCGTTGAGAAAAAAGTGGCTCCTCCTAGCTGACTCTTCATGACAGCCTTCTAGAGTGTAATTCTCTTTTTGCTGACTTGTGACTACAAACTGCGTGTGTGTGTGTGTGTGTGTGTGTGTGTGTGTGTGTGGTGGGGGAAGGGCATTCTGATATTTAGCCCCAACTTTGACCTCAGATTCAGAACCCTCCTGCCTTGTATTTGCTGACTTTACACATGCATGCTACCATGTTCAGCTTCAACAAGAGTATTATTATTATTATTATTATTATTATTATTATTATTATTATTATATTTGTATTTGTCCATGTGTGTGTGCACACACACATAATCCATACGCAGAGGTCAGAGGTTGGTTCTAATCTTCACCTTGTCAGTTTTGGGGACCAAACCCAAGTCACCAGACTTAACAGCACTCATCTTCACCCACTGAGCCCAAAGCAAAATATATTTTACATTATTTAGATATCCATTGAATTAATTTCTTTAAAATAATAAAATTAAGCAAATCCTTACTTACTTATGGGTCTTGCAGTTCAGATCACACAGTTGAAAAAGCACACAAGGCCCAAAGCAGCACTAAAGATCTAGTAAATTGTACTCCCCCAACTGCCGCCACCTGAGACCTTCTAACGTCCCAGAATTGTACACTTTTTTTGAATGCAACGTTTATGCTGACCATCTGACAAGGAATGTTATCATTCATTTCAGTTCCTCGGTATTATTAGAATTCAGTTTTCATATGTGTACAATTGAAAACGAAAACAAAACAAATGAAATTACCAACCTGACCCCGGGTTCTACTCTTTCTTTCCTTGCACTCTGCCCCATTCTGTCACAGCGGGCTCATTATCTTCACTGATGTCCTTCTGGAAAAAAAAAAAATTGTGAGCACTTTAGAGTAGTCTAAAATCACTGACAACAGATCTCTGTGATAAATTCTCTTTCCATTACACACACATGCACGGCAGTCAGTAGAGACACTCCTACAACTTAAGAGAAAACACTGGCCTGCTGCAATTACCTCCTAAAGCACTCCTATAAGCACACCATTAGGAAATATTTTTGCTAACCACATCACAAACAATTATTAATGTGCTAACTTTAGTCCATGCTTTCAGCTCCCGCGGGATCAGGGGCAGGGTGGGAACACACTCATTATGGGAACATCTCATTGGCCCATCTGCTGACATCGCACCTTTGTAAAGCCTACCCATAACCATTCTAATTAGGCCATCAAGTGTCAGGACTTGCTGTGTGAATTTCATTAATTCTAGCCATCTCTGTGGTGGAACTGATGTTGCCTGCATTAAAGGAGTGACTCTGCCTGGGAAGCAATTTCCTTATGTTTATGACCGCTCCTGGCTACCTGCTGGTACTGAGCAAGGCTTATAAAGATGTCCTCATAGAGCTGCAAAACTTCCTTCGGCTGGGAGCCCAATCCTACCCAGACACTTTGATACACCTATACTAATATTATGGCCTTTACATCTTTATCTGGCCCTTAATTAGTAATGTGACCTGCAAAATGGGAAGTGGGAAGCTTGCATGTATCTGTGCTGCTTTGGGGAAATCTCAGAGACCCAGTAACTTTTTAAAAAATGAAATTTATTTTCCTCAGTCCTAGAGACACTAGAGCAAAGCTCAAGAGAGACAGAAAAGCTCAAGATCAAAGCATCAGCAGGAAAAGTCGTCTGGTGAGGGCTCCTCTGCATCCAACATGGCACCTTAGGAAAGCTGTGCCCTCACTCTGGAAGACAAAAGGGGAAAGGAGACAAACTCCACTCAGTCATTGTATAAGGGTGTCTGCTGTGATCTGCAGCAGGATGGTCTCTCCTGTGGAAAAGTCTCTACAAGGAAGATTGACTGATGTGGAGTCCCTGACTGTGGAGAGCAGATCCAGAGGCCGTCTTCATTCAGTCCCTTAATGAAACGTTTTAGAATTCTTAAATCAACAGACACCTAGCGTCCACCAATCCAAAAGCTAAGAATGCCATCAGATAGCATCTGAGACTTAATAGTTGAGATTTTTCACTTTGGTGTAATTTACCTACCGATGTTTCCACCAATGTCTTTGGGGAAATGTATTGATCTATGACTTTCTGTTCTATAAAAATTCATGAGCTTGTTTCTACATGGAAACACATTATTTGCGACAACCTTGTCTTGTATTATAGAACAATACTGTTCTATTGCTATGAAGAGACACCACCACCAACACAACTCTTAGGGCTTGCTTACAGTTTAGTTCATGATCCCCATGGCAGGAAACAGACCAGCATGACAGTGGAGCAGAAGCTGAGAGCTTTACATCCTAATCTGTAGGCAACAGACAGAAAGAGAGAGACTGGACCTCACATGGGGTTTTGAAACCTCAAAGCCTACTCCCAGTGACACTCCTTCTCCAACAAAGCCACACCTACTCCAACAAGGCCATATTTTCTAATCCTCCCCAAACAATTCCACTAACTGCTCACTATGCACTCAAATATGGGGGTCATTTTCATTCAAGCCACCACAAACTTAAATCTATGTTCCTGGGGCAGGATCACTCATAATTGGCTCAAGAATAAAGTATCTCTTGTTCTCTTTAAGGTAGGGGCCATGTTTTGCATCAGCACTACTGTCATTTAGGGAACAAGCCTTCTCAGTAGCCTCATCACCTATGCAAGGGCCCTACCTCTCAATATTATCACTTTGGTAACACTGAATTTTGGAGGGGACACATTAAAACCATACTAACATGTTTCTACCTTTAAAGAAATAGTCACCCATTTATTAGCTCAACTTTTGTTCTTAAGAGCTGCACGGCCCCATTGCTGTTACAGAAAAGATGGCTTCTAAGAGCAGGCATCCAATCTTTCCTCCTCTGCTTCTAATGTGGTTGTTTAAATGAAAAATGCCATCATCCCATTTTCTTTTCGCCTAGCTTCTGGATATAGAGCTTGGGTGTACCAAGGGAACAGAGCACTTTACATATGAGCTATGTCCCCAGCCCAGGGTTTGTTTTCCTAATGAACTGTGCTATATGTGGTTCATTAAAAAAACACTTACGTTTTTAATCTTACTTATCAGCATGTCTTTGAGGAAACATTATTAGTTAGTTGTTTTGGTAGCTGATTTTATGTGTCAATTTGCTCAAACACAGGTCTAGATGTTGGTGCAAAGGGTATTTTCTAAATGTGATTAACATTCATGATCAGTTGCCTTAAGTAAAGGAAGTTACTCTCGATGTGCCTCAATCAGTTGAAGGCCCAAAAAGTAAAACGGAAGTTTCTCAAATAAGAAATTTTGCCTTAAGACCTTAACATAGAAATCCTAGATATAAGTATAGGGCTCAAGTGATAATTTCAATTATTGATGAGTTTCTAGACTTATGGACTTACAGATTTTGAATTCTCTATCTCCCATAACAGTACAAACCAATTCTCTGTGTATGTACGCACGTGTGCGTGCATGCGTGCGTACGTGTGCAGATGTATACATACAGGCTGTACTCATTAATAAAATTCAGTTTCTTTCATGAACTGGGAAATAGGTGAGGTGAGCAGTGACAAAGGAAGCTAACAGCAAAAGGACAGCCTCTCCTGTCTAAAAAGGCATGTTTAATCATGCACTAACTGAGTCCAGTGTATCTGGCCCACCTAAGCAATATGCTTACCTAGTTCATACACTCTGAAATTTATCAATAAATTTATCATACACTGAGAAGTCTGACCAAAATATTTTCTTTTGAAAAAGCAAGATCATGCCTAGGACCTGGCTGAGACAGTCAAGTGGGTTTAAACAGTGGGGAAAAAAATAAAAAATAAATTGTTGGTATGCCAAGATTCTATTCCTCATTCACAATGTGACTGTATGACTTATGGAAGTCAACCTCAGTGCATGATAAATGGAGATATATAAGCATTATATTTTTTCTTTATGCTTGTATTTTTTAAGCTACCAGTTTATACATATTTAGAAAGCCAAGAGAAAAGGAAGCAGATTTAGTTTAATTTAGGGAAATAGCTAAGTCCTAGAAAATCTTGACGAGACTATGCTATAGTTTGGATGTTCAGCATCCCTAGAAGTCGAAGAAGTAATTTCATGTCCTGGTGGGAGTCCTGGGGACATTGCCAGCATGCCCTAACCGTGGTTGCAGGACCCTGGATTCTTCTTCCTTTGCTTCCTGGACATGAAGTGAGCAGTTTGCTGTATCACATGCTTGTGGCATTGCTATTTAGCACACCTATCAGAGAGCTAGAATATTGGAGTCACCTGGTCTTGGACTAGCAGCTCCAAACTGTGAGCTCAAAACAAAGCTTTTCTCCTTGAAAGTTAAATTTTCTCAAAATTTAATCAAAGGGATGGAACACTGGCTTCCAAAAACATTATCTTTAGACTTAAAAATGCTTAGATCTCCTTATTTGTGCTCCAGTGATTCCCCAGGGCTATGAGGGTGTTACATAGTACAGCAGAACTGTTTTCAATACAAAATGATGGATATGTATTCAGATTCAAACTAAACATGCAAATTAAGGAGACTGCACCTAAAACAGATTTATCTCCTTTTTGAAATGTACTTTTATGCGTAGGATGAGTGTGTTGCACTGTGTGTGTGCAATGCTCCTGGGGACCAGTCGAGGGCTTGTGAACCCCTGGAACTGGAGTTACAGATGCCTGTGAGCTGTCACACCTGTGTTAGGAGTTCAACCCAAGTCCTACAGAAGAGCTCTTAACCTCTGGAACACCTCTCCAGCCTCAAGACTGTTCTGGTATCAACACAGACACAGACCTACCCTGAGCTGAAAGAAACAAAAGATTGTTTTGTGTAAACAAAACTTAAACAAAAGTAAAAGGATACTGTTATTTAGTGAAAATGGGATTTTAAAAGTTATTCATAGATTTGGTTAAGTATACAATTTTCAGAAATCACATAAAAACCAGAGGATGTATGTGACTAGCCTCTGCTCTACCAGGATGGTTCACTTACCAAAAAAAAAAAAAAAAAAAAAAAAAAAAAAAAAAAATTTGAAATAAAAAAAAAAAAAGTTTTTTTCCAAAAAAAAAAACTGGTTTTGTAAAAAAAAAAAAAAAAAAAAAAAAAAAAGCCAAA